CACTGGAGCCCACTGACACGGACACTGTATCAATCCATCTCATTGAATGTCTTTCTTTCCTTCACTGTTCCTCCACCTCTGGGTGGTATAATTTACAGCCATCAGCTGTGGTTATATTTTCTTTTTGTGGTCACATTTTTGAAATATCCTTTGACTTAAGAGAACTGTCCCACAGACTATTCAGGTTTGTAATCTTTACAGAGCTCTGTTGGCTCTAGTGTATAAGGAGTTGTGCTGCCAACCCAAAGGCATCTAATTAGAAAGACATAACTGACTAGTTGCTCCATGGGAGGAAGATGGGCAATCTCCTCTCAAGTGATTTATAGCCTCTGAAAACCCACTTGAGGGTGAATTATGAGTCAATTCTCACTTGACAGCACATAACAACACAACGTGTGTGTGTGTGTGTGTGTGTGTGTGTGTGTGTGTGTACACAATGACATATCTTATAGGAAACCCCTCTCTCTAAAATTTAAAGGAAACTTCAACACCTCAACAAGAAAAAGACAACTCAATTTCAAAATGGGCAGGGATATGAAAAGACACTTCACCAAACAAAGCATTCAGATGGCAAATAAACACATGAAGAGATGTTCAAGACTGTCAGTTATTACAGGGATGCAAATCAAAACAAAATTGAGCTATCATCTCCCTACAGCAGTAATAGCAAAGTTCAGTACGATAGTAAAAAAAAATGCTGGCAAGAGTATGGAGAGATTAGAACTTTCATACGGCTGGTGGGAATGCAAAATGTTGGCTTTAAAGCACTTCTTTAAAAAGTTGAAAAAAGAAATATTTGACCCAGCAATTCTACTATTAAGAAAACTCCAATATATATATATATATATTAAGAAATAACAGTCTCTATATAAACAGTGATATGCACACCCATGTTCACTGTAGCTTTATTCATAAGTGTCCATCAGTGGATGAATGGGTAAACAAGCCATAGCAATTCACGTCGTGAGGGACTATGCAACACTGAAAAACAATGAAGCATAACGTCAAAGAATCTAGAGGACATTATACTGAGTGAAAAAAGCCAAAAACAGAAAGAAAAATATTGTATAAGAACACTATAAAATAAAGCTCAAGATAGAATCATTCTTTAAGGCTATTAGGAAGTAAAGGAAGGGAGAGAGGAGTAAAAATTAGTAACCAATAACAAACACTTATTAAAATAGGGGAAGGGAAAGGCAATACAGAATAACTGGATGATCAAACACTGTGGGTATTATAATTACATTTATAAATGAAAATATATAACCAATATTTAGCTTTGAAAATTTCACTGAAAAAAAAAACTCCAAACACTAAAAAAATTATCCTCTTATTTGTAGGCTTGTTAACCATTTATATAACATCTTTAGAGAAATGTCTGTTCAAGTCTTTTGCTTATTTTTTAATTGGGTTGTTTATATTTTTCTTATTGTGATACAGTTCTATTTCTCTGTATAAAGCATGAATATATATAAAGAATTGAACACAAATATCTAAAAATATATCTATATAAACAAAACCCAGTAATTTCTGCCATACAGCAACCCTGTAGGAAAGAATTTAAGTGTCCACCAAGATGATTGTTATTTAAAAACCTAGAAAATACTAGAGATGATGATGTTGAGAAATTGGAGCACCTACTCTATTATTACTCTATGATTAGGGATCTCTGATAGCTTAACCCTAAGAAGCTGCCTGCATGTGGTTCAAATCCACCAGCTGCTCCACAGGAGAAAGATGGGCAATTTCTTCTCATGTGATTAATTGCCTCCAAAAACTCGCCAGAGTCAGCTATGGGTCAGTTCTGAATCAACAGTACACACAGTAACAAGAACTCTATTACGAGCTGTGCTCCGGAGGCTAAGCAGCAAGTTGTGCTGCAAACCCAAGGCATGTGGTTTGGGCCCACTAGTAACTCACAGGGGAGAAAAATGGGCATCTCTTCTCCTGTGATTTCCAGCCTCTGAACACCCACTGGAGAGTCATTTCTGACTCAATAGCACAAAAGAGTAACAACTCTACTGCTGTGGGAATGTTAAATAATACAGTACTGTAAGAAACAATTTGGTGTTTCCCTAGCAAGTAAACACAGACTTATCACCTGACCCTGCTGAGTCTCTGCTACTATATGCTCCACTCATGGGAAGAGTAATCAAGAAATAAAAAGATGTATTGCATTGGCAAAATCTGTCATCAAGGAACTCTCCCAAGGACTTAAGAGCAAGGATATCAGTTTAAATACTAAGGTGTGTGTGGTAAAAACCAGGGTATTTTCAATTGTTTCCTAAGCATCTGAAACTTGGACAATGAACAAAAAGATGACAGAAGAGCTGATACTTTTGAGTTGCACTGTTAACAAAGAGTACTAAATATACCATGGATTGTCAAAAGAACAAACAAGTCTGTCTTGGAGGAAATGTCGTTCCTCCAAGCAATGATGTTCCCTCCTCCTTGGAAGCAAGGGTGGTGAAACTTCATCTCACATTCTTTGGACATGTTGCCAGTCCTCAGAAAAACACATTACGCTAGGAAAGCTGGAGGGTCAGAAAAACAGAGGAAGACTCCCAACACCATGACTGTAACAATGGGCTTGAGCATATTAGAGATAGTGAGGGTGGTACAGGATAGGGATGCTATGAGTTTCAGCTGATTTGACAGCACCCAAGAACAATGTATCTCCTAAAGTATCAAAGTTTGGCACTCAAATACTTGCATTTCAGTGTTCACTACAACCTGATTCACCATGTGACCATCAAAAGATGAATTATATATAGCATACAATGTTTACACAGCCTTGCTTGCTGAAGCTGAGTAGTGCCTGAAGTGTTTCCTGCAGAAGGTCAAGGAATGCAGTCTTCCCGATGGATTGAAGATCAATATAAAGAAAACAGAGATTGTCACTACTGGGCCAATTGGCAGCTTCATGATAGATGGAGGAGATTGAGGTTATTAACAATTTCAGCTTGTCCAGCTCTTACCAGTAATCAAGAAATCAAAAGATGAATTGCGCTGGAAAAATCTGCTAAGACCTCTCCAGAGTGCTGAAGAGCAACAGTGTCAGTCTAGAAACTAAGAGGCACCTGATCCAGGCCATGGTCCTCACAATTACTTACTGTAATCAGACAGGTGGGCAATGCCTAAGGACAATGTAAGAATTAATGACTTTGAGTTGTGGTGCTGGAGAAAAGTATTAAACATACTATGGACTGGTAAAAGAACAAATAGTTCTGTCTTGGAGAGGGTGAAAACAAGTTGCTTTTTAGAGGCAGGTATTTTGAAGCTCTATCTCACATATACTTTGGCCACTGGCCAGGAAGTCCCAGATCCTGGAGGAGGACATCATGCTGGGAAGGGTGGAGGGTCAGCGCAGGAGAGGAAGACCTTGGACGAGATTGATTGATATGGTAACCAGAATAATGGGGGTAAGGGTGTCAAAGACAGTGAGACAGGCTCAGGCTGAGTATGGTTCAGAGCTACTGTGCACAGGGTCTCTGTTAAATCACAGACAACTTGACAACATAAAACCACCACCACCACTTCAGAGCATTATTCAGCTACAGAAATATATGAAGTTCTACTATATGCTATGACATGGATAGGCCTTAAAGGAATCATGCCAAGGTAAAGGGAGCTCTGGTGGCTTAGGGCTAAGGAGCCGAGCTGCCAACCCAAAGCATATGATTTAAAGCCATCTGCTGCTCCACAGGAGAAAGATGAACAATCTTCTCCCATACAGTTTATGGCCTCTGAAAACTTGCTCAAAGTTCGGCCAGTTCCAAGTGAACAATACTCACAACAAAGTAAAGAAGACAGACTACTCCACTTCTGTGACATATGTAGAATAACAAATTGACAGAGACGGAAAGTAGATTAGTGGCTGCTAGGAATTGGGGGAGAGGTTAAGGGGACATTATTGCTTAATAGGTAAAGAGTTACTATTTGGGGTAATGAAAAGAACTGGAAATGCATGAACAACACTGTACGTTAATGTCACCAAACAGTACACTGAAAAGCAGCAAAAATGGTATCTTTTTATGTTGTCTATGTGATGGTTAAGATGTGCTGTCAAGTTGGCAGTTATGATGGAGACATTCCTCCATCTGCTATGAACATCCAACTGGTTTAAGGGGACTCTTAGCAGGGATGTGGCTTGTAAGGAATAGATAAACAAGCCTGGCAGAGTTCTCAGGCTCTCTGTTCCATCTGGATCTTGCATCTGGCTCAGCACTTCTCCAGGTCTCGAACTAGCAGCCTGTCTTGCCTGCTGACTTTGGATTCATCAGCCTCCACACCTGTGTGACTTAGGAGAAACCTGAGGTCTCCTGAGGTCTTTGTACCTGGGTCTTGTCAGCCTCTATGAGCAGGTATGTAATTTTCTTTACATAAATATATCTTCAGAACTATTTTATTAGCTTTATTCTTTAAAGAACCAAGCCTAAGGTCATTTGATTGACCACCATTTAAATTTTTTCCATTTAAAAAACAGTCCAATCAAAATTCTCAGATTACTCCTAATTAAAGCTCCCTTATCCCTTTTAACAGGTAAAGTGGCACTATTTAATTACTCTATTAAAATCTTCCATAAATGTCTCTCTCCTGAATTCTCATTACCTTCTACCGTAATACCTTTGCCAAAGCATACTACCCTTTTTTCATTTCTTTGTTGTTTCCTCCCCTCCCCTTTCAGATGCTTCCTGCCCCTCTTTTTTTCCATAACTAATTCTCACTTACCATTTCAGGTGCTGTTAAATCCCCTTACCTCTTTCTGAAACTTTATGGAGTAGTTCTGGGAGGTCCACTAAATGCTCTTTCTTCAGGGACACTATCATCTCACACACTCCATCTTCTCAAACTCATTAAAAATAAACAGTGGTTCATACACTTTCATTTCTCACAGCACTGAGCATACTAGGGAATACTTACCAAGGACTCTTCAAACATTTAGTGACTGATTTTTCTTGTAAGATTCCAATAAAGTTAGGATCACAGAAAGTACTTACTTTCATTTGGTAGCAAAAGGCTCATGTTTTGATTTCCCATGTCTGCAAAGCTATCTGTCATATCTCCAAAAACCAGCATCATGAGAGGGAGTGCAGCTCCGTGGATGACGGCGGCCAGAGTCCCCAGCAACATATACAACTTATCAAGCCAATTTGAATATCGAAACTAAAACAAAACAAAAAACCAAGAAAGCAAAATGTTGTGAATAAAAATGCTTAGCTGTTTCAAGTAGAGATTCGCTCTACCTTCAAAATACATCAAAAATTCAAACACTGTTCAGACGACCACTGCTATCACTTTGTCTGCGCTATCATCTTTCTATCAACTTTGGGCATGTTGTCAGGAGGGGCGATTCTTTGGAAAAGGACTTCCCGCTGGGAAGGGTGGAGGGTCAGAGAGAGACCATCAGCAAGATGGACTGACAAAGTAACCATTGCAATTAGCTCAATCCTATCAGGGTGGTGTAGGATAGTGTGGAAATTATTGAACAATATCACACACAAGAAAAAAATCCTGCTGAAGATTATAAAAAAAACTGGATAAACAATGTACTGAGACAGTACAATGACAGAGAACTACCAGAAATACAAGCTGGGTTTAGTTAGAAGAGGTTGTGGCAGTAGAGACATTACTGCCAATGTCAGATGGATCTCGGCAGAAAGCAAGGAGTACCAGAGGAATGTTTATCTGTGCTTCATTAACTATGCAAAAGCATTTGAATTTGTGGATAACAACCAATTACGGCTAATCTTGAGGAGCATGGGACTCCCAGAACACTTGATTGAGCTTATGCATAACCTGTATTTGTACCAGGAAGCAGTCCTCACTCAGAATAGACCAAGGAAACAATGAGTGGTTCAAAATCAGGAAGGGAGGGCATTAGGGATGCATCCTGTCTCCATACCTTTTCAATTTATATGCAAAACAGATCATTTGGGAAGTTGAGCTTTATGAGGAGAAATGTGGCATCAGAACTGGAGGAAGACTCATCAACAGCCTATGTATTGCAGATGACACCACCTTGTTTGCCGAAATCAAGAAGGACTTGAAACATCTGTTGCAGAAGTTCAAGGACTACAATCTTCAATATGGATAGAAGCTCAACATCAAGAAGACAAAGATTCTCGCCACTGGGCCAACTGACAGCACCATGAGAGATGGTAGAATACAGGGCAATGAAAAAGAGAAAGCCCCTGAATGAGACAGATTGACAAAGCAGCTGCTAACAACGGGCTCACACACAGGAGTTACAGGATGTGAGAAGAAACGGACTTCACAGCACTTTAAAACAACTTCCACTAAGTTGTGAACGCCTTCTTCATATTGGATTCATTGTCTTCTTTTCTTATATATGAGATTTGAATGCAAGAGATGGGACATCCTGGGTATCTGTCTCATGGGATTAAAATAGCAATAAAACGTTATTGCTCTAGTTTTTAGTATAAAATAGAAGGTAGCTCCATCTTATGGGAAAAATCTTGATTGCCAAAGACCCGTCACATGAAACCGCTGAACAAAGATGCTTTTTACTTTAAAAAAGCAACCTGAGTCAAAGAGCTTTAACCTAGTAGAATCAGCATAGATATAAAGTGATTTTATGGCATTACACTTCAAGAAGGCATTTTACTGTGTGGAACACAACAAATTGTGGCTAACCTTAACAATGGGAATCCCAAAACACTTGATTGTGCTCATACAAAACTTATACCTAGACCAGGAAGCTGTTGTCAGAACACAGCAAGGAAACACACTGCATGGTTCAAAATCAAGAAAAGAGTGTGTCAGGGATATAACCTTTCTTCCATACCTTTTCAATCTAGACATGGAACAGATCATTAGAGAGACTAGACTTTATGAAGAAGGTTGGGGCATCAGGATTGGAGGAAGATTCATCAACAATTTGTGTTGTGCAGAGGACACACCCTAGCTCACCAAAACTGAGGAGAACCTGAAGCACTTTCTGCAAAAGGTCAAGGACTGCAGCCTCAAATATGGATTGCACTTCAATACCTAGAAAACAAAGTTCTTGCCACCAGGCCAATAGGTATCATGTTGTTTTTGCTGTGCACCTCTGAGATGAAACAGACCCATAGCTGACCCTCCAGCAGGTTTTCAAAGGCAGTAAATTGCATGAGAGCCTATCCTTCTCCCTTGGAGGAGCTGATGGATTTGAACCATGTGCCTTTGGAAGTACAGAACAGCTTCTCACCCACTAGGCCAGCAGCACTCCTGATATCATGACAGATGGAGAAAAGATTGAGGTTGTTAACAATTTCCGCTTGCTCTGACACACAATCAACACCGCTGGTACCAGCACACAGGAAATCAAATGACAAATTGTGCTGGGAAAATCTGCTGTCAAGGACCTCTCCACGGTGCTAAAGAGCAATAATGTCAGTCTAGAAACTTAGGTGTGCCCAATCCAAGCCTTGGTCTTCTCAGTAACTTACTATAAATCTAAAAGATGGACAATAACTAAGGATAACAGAAGAAGAGCCTGTGTTCTGAGTTGTGCAGCTAGGGAAGAGTATTGAACATACAATGGACTAACTGCTAAGAGAACAAAGAGATCTGTCCTAGTGAGGGTGAAACCAGGTTTCTCCTGGGGGCAAGGATTTTGAAGTTCAGTCTCATATACTTTGGGCATGTTACCAGTAGATGCCAGTCATTGGAGGAGGACATCCTGCTTGGAAAGGTCAGTGTTGACGGGGAAGACCTTGGATGAGATGTACTGACACTGTGACTGTGGCAATGGGGTCACATGTGTCAGCGATGATGAGGCTGACTTAGGATAGGGCTAAGTTCTGAGCCACTGTTCACAGGGACATAGTTCTCAGGATCGTATGAGTTGCAGTTGACTCAACAACACATAACAACAATGAAAAGAAAGATGAAAGGAAGAAGGCAAATGCATATTCATATGCAAAGGAGCATACTTTTCTTGAGAAGACAGAGTCTGACAATAATTAATAACAATCTGTGCTTCTGTAGCTACAGATCTAGAATGACAATTATACAGATCTAATCACACTCATGGCTGGCATGTCAGAGGAAAAAGAGAAAACTGTCTCTGGATTCAAGGAAGTGACAGGACCATAAAATAGAGTAAAGGTCTCAGGGCTCTGGGACAGATCCATCTGAGAGCACTTCATGTGTCTCCTGTGTAACTCAAAGAACTAGTTAACGAAAGTCCACAGAAAGATAAAGTAGAAGCAAGATGATGAAACTGGGAGTAGGGCTATGAAGATAAATGCCAGGGCAGGTGGTGGCTGTACTTTTAGGTAAGTTAGATGTAGGCAGCAGGTTTGTAACCTAGGGAGGAAGCCCGGGTTAGAAGTCATAAACCTAGGTTAGGATGATTAATTAAAACAAGAGCAAAAATCAGGGAATCTATATGAAATGGCAACAGTAAACTCTCTGCTGAACTTATACATTGTTTCTGAGGAGAAAAACTAACCATAAAGGTAGTAAACAAGGAATTTAGAACACTAATAAGTACTGAATTGATAAGGAGAGAAATAAAATGACCCATGTTTGGCAACAGTATAAGGTAGTCCCTAAAGAGGAAAGGAAAAGTCAGTTAATGAGATACTGAACGAAAATTAAAGTCTGAAGTTAGAAAAACCTAACATACTTTTTTTAAAAAAAAGATCAGCTGCCCTGGATGTTGCCACATGACTCCCTCCTGAAGGGCAGTCTGCAAGGTTTCCAAAGGTGATTCTGAGGGGTTGGTGTGGGTGCTTTTTTTAGTGTTTTTGTTTTTGTTTTTATGGCCAAGGCTTTTTTTTCCAAAGCACATAGTAGTGGACTCCAATCACCAGACTTTCCATTAGCAAACAAGTGCATTGACACTTTACACTACCCAAGAATTTCAGTAAATTCTTAAGCATTAATAGTGATTACATTTCTTTCACTCAGTGATATGTAATTTCTTTAACCTAAAAATATTACTTTACAACTGAAAAACTTGAAAGAGGCATATTCTGCATATTTTTTTTTCTTCAAATCCACTGAAGCACAGGCTAAATTCAGCTCTGAAGTACTTTGCCTTAACTACACATTCATTTGCTGCCAAAATAAAGCAGACATGAGGGGAAGAAAAGGAACAAGCGCCACCTTATCATAACTTTTTCACTCCTGGAACAAGAAACAACTCAACTCATTGCCAGTGGGTCGGAAGTGACTGACAGTGGACCCTCCAGGAGGTTTTCAGAAGATGTAAATCAAAAGAGAGGAAACTCCTCATTTTTCTCCCAAGGAGCTGCTAATGGATTCAAACTGTCCACCTTTGAGTTGGCCACACAATGTCTTACCTAGGAGGTCACCAGAGCTCCCTAGACTCCATGAAAGCACACAAAACATCAATTCCCTTAATGAAAAGAACTGATGTGCAGAAATTTCTCTCTTCACCACCACTGTCTCCCTTAATGCCTTAGAACTAACCACCATAAAAGCAAGCAAGTCATGAATAGAAGCTTTAACTGAAGGTCTATCAGAAACCAAAGAGCATACAAACAGGCAATGATACAACCACAAGTGTCTGGAAAGAAACATCACACAGGGTAATGTGTCTAGCAACAGGAAAGGAGAGCTCATAAGGACTAGCTGGCTAGGAAGGTGTCTGAGAAGGTAACATTAGAGCTGAGATTCCAGTGACAGGAAGAATTTAGTAAATCATTAGGTGATCTGAGGACAGCGCACTGCAAGCAGAAGAAAGATAAAAGGCAGAGATCCTGGGATAGAAATAACCACTAGTGTGTCTCAAGAAGCAAGAGAGTGGCCTCTGTCGCAAGAGAAGAGTGAGGGTTCAGATTTGTCTGCAGTGAAGTCACAGATGAGGCAGAGATTAGATAATGAAAGGCCTTGCACAGCCACAGAAAAGCCTAATTTGAAGCAAGGAATTTAAACTTTATTCTAAATGTTCCATTGGCGTGTAAAGGAAAAGCAATGGAAGATTGTTATCAGATAAAGATTATTTCATGTGGTTGCGATGGGGACAATCCTTTCTAGAAGTGTAAAACTAAAGGACAGACTTAAAGCGGGGGCGGGGTGGGGAATGGTTGAAAGAGCAGGCTTGATGAGGTGTGACAGGTAGGATTAGGGTCCCTCTGAAACATCTGAATCTGTTTCTTCACCTGGATAACACAAAGATGCTTGTGTCATAAACCAACAACAACCCCTTACATGGTAAAAGGGATGTGTGAATACTGAATTGATTAAGGATCCTGAGACAGGAATAGTACCCTGATTTACTCAGATTCCATATAAAGTCACTGCAATGATCCTTCTAAGGGAGACAAGAGAATCAGAGATAGTTGTAGGTGATATGGTAACTGAAGACAGGCTAACCCACTGGTCGCCAGACTATCAAAAAGTAGCTGTAACTGAGAAGGCAAGGAGACAGCTTCTCCACTTAAGATTCCAGAGGTTACCACTGGCCAGCCAACACTTGGAACTGAGATTCCTGACTCTAAGAACTGGAAGACAATAAATCTATTTTGTTTTCAACTGCTAAATTTGCAGTATTTTGTTACAGGACCAATAAGACATTAACATGCCAGGTCAAAAATACTCAAGGATAACAAAGAAATCCTAAAGCTAGGTGGAGTAAAAAGTTATCATCAGGGGCTGAGACATTTGCGTTTATTACTTCATTTATGGAATCCACCCAAAAGATAAGTGCAAGGTCCCCATTCACAAGTGTAATTTATTGAAGTGGCATACAGGTGAAGGTTGCAAGAACTCACTAGGGCAAAGAACAAGAGCTGATCTGGTGAATACGTTGGTTATAAGGCTGTCAAAATACTGTGAAGAAGCAAGTGTAATCAAATACCCAAATCTTCAATCAACTAGAGGTTACGAGAAAAATCTTAGAGGCTAGGACCATTGGAAATGGATTCAAACTACTATCACTATCAAGAATGAAAACATAATTCCAAAAGGAGTATTGCATGAGGATCAAGAAACAATCTGGATATGGCTATGTGGAGAGAGAGGGATTTCAACATCATCACTATTTCCCAAGATAAATGTTTACAGAGCTCTAACTTCACAGGCGAAGGTGACACAATAAAAACTCAAAGCGGGGAGAAAAAACAACACCCTGGGGAAACAATGAAGAGAAAGAACGAATGAACATGGTGGTGAGGATCATACGTAGCTGAGAGGTCATGATGCCATCAAAAAATTAAATTACAATATGTTGTGAATGGACTGCAAGACAGAAAGTAAAAGCCACCCTGGTATGTGAAGGGAGTCAGAGGTGGAGTTCCGAGAGTGAGGTAATGTAAAGGAAGATTACAGCTGATGTGTAAACGTCAGTAGAAATGATCTATTTGACGGGAGAGATAAAAAAATAGAGACAACAGAAAGAAGACAATAATGGCAGGCCCTTGGGAAAAAACAAGAGATGGGAGTCAAAGTACAGTGAGGGATCAGTTTTAAAAACAGGTTGCTTCCTCTACTGTAATGAAAAGAAAAGGGAGGGTTTTCATCCAGATACAGGGATGTTTGCACATTTGGATAAGAAAATGCCCATTACTTCTAGGCTGATGGTTTACATCCTGTTTATGAAATGAACCCAGAGATGAGTTGAGGGAACACATGAAAAGAACAAAGGTTTCACACAGTGGGAAGAGCACTGGCAGGGTTTCTGTGCTGGTTACAATCCGATGTGAGGTTTTCACCAGCGCCAACCCAAAGTGGGTGCACAGGCACCAAGATGGCACAGAGAGGGCTTTGCCTGGCAAAAGACAGGTGAAAAAGGTTTACAGTAAGAACATAAAGATATCAAAACTGCGCTTAACCCTAAGCTCAAAAAGAAAAGCACACAAAGACAGGAAGGAGGTGGTGAGAAATGATGAGTCAGAGGACGAAAGATCCCAGAGAGAACACTGAGCGGGCAGGCAGGAGAGGAGATGGTAATCATAGAGGCAGAGGGCTGTGTGAGTCACTGTGGAGGCGGGACAGTCATAGAAGACCATAAAAGCCCGGATGTGAGCATGAGAGTGGATGGCTGCCGCAGAGGGGAGGTAGAGGTTACTACAGCTGTGGAGGTCAACGAGTGGTTATTCATATTTCCATAAAAGTCACAAAGATAGTGACGGCGTCAGGGGTGTAAAGAGAGACAGTGAGACAGGTGGCAAAGTGTCCCATGACTAGGGCATGACAAGGGGGTCAGAAGATGATAACATCAATAAAGAAGAACACTTTCATTGCAGCTGGTAATAGTTTAACCAAAACATCATAAATAATTAAGGTTGTTAAGATCATTGACTCCAGTATAGGTAGCAATCTGGACAAAATTCTTTGCTAGCTCCCTGACCCAGCCCTAGTTCCAATGTGACTCTGTGACTCAAATACGTGACTTACCTTTGCTGAATCTGTTTCTTCACCGAAATTACACAAGTTTTTGTGTTACACAGCTAATGGCTTAAGAAGTTTTAAATATACCTGAAATGCTTAATAAATACATGGTACAGAAGAAACACAGGATTGCGAGTTATAATCTATTTAGAATAAAATTAATGTGTCCATGTTGTTGTTGTTGTTGTTGTTATATGCCATCGAGTTGCTTGTGACTCATAGTGACCCTATGTACAACAGCCCTAAACCCTGCACTATCCTGTGCCAATCACACTGCCTCTGACACACCCATCCCAATTACCCCAGTCACTGAATCAATTCACCTCATAGAGGGTCTTCCCCTCCTGCGCTGTCCCTCCATTCTCCCGAGCATGATGTCCCTTTCCAAGGATCTGCCCTCCTTACAACATGTCCAAAGTATGTCAGGCGAAGCCCCAGAATCCTTGCCTCCAAGGAGTAGCCTGGTTTAACCCTCTCCAGGATGATTCTGTTTGTTTTCTTGGCAGTCTATGGTACATTTAATACTCTTCTCCAGCACCACAGCTCAAGGCATCAATTCTCTTTCTAACCTCCCTAGTCATTGTCCAACTCTCTGATGCATAACAAGTGATTGCAAAGACCATGGCCTGTATCAGACGCACCTTAGTTTCCAGAGAGACACCGTTGCTCTTGAGTACTTTAGAGAGGTCCCTAACAGCAGACTTTTCCATCGCAATACGTTTTTTGATTTCCTGACTGCTGGTGCCAAGACTGCTGACCGTGGAGCCGAGCAAACTGAAGCTGTGAACAATCTCAATCTCTTCGCCATCCATCCTGATGCTGCCGTTTGGTCCAGTGGTGAGAATCTTTGTCTTCTTGACATTGAGCCTCAGTCCATACTGAAGGATGCAGTCCTTGACCCTCTGAAGCAAGTGCATGAGGTCCTCCTCAGTTTCAGCAAGCAGGGTTGTGTCATCTGCATAACTCAGATTGTTAATAGATCTTCCACAAATCCTGACGCCACACTTCTCATCGAGTCCAGCCTCTTGGATAATCTTCTCTGCATACAGGTTGAAAAGGTATGGAGATAGGACACATCCCTGGCGTACACCCTTCCTAATTTTGGACATGCTCTGTTCTGATGACTGCCTCTTGGTCCAAGTATAGGTTTCATATTAGCAAGATTAAATGTTCTGGGATTCCCATTCTTCTCAGAGTCAGTCACAGCTTTTTATGATCCACACAGTCAAATGCCTTTGCATAATCAATGAAACAAAGATATACATTCTTCAGGTATTCCCTGTTTCAGCTAAGATCCATCTAACATCAGCTACAATATCCCTGGTACCACGACCCCTTCTAAACCCAGCCTGGACTTCTGGCAGTTCTCTGTTGATCTGCTGTAGAGTCACATCTGCTGACAAGAGTTTAGCCTCTAAGGAGTATATCTCATGACAGATCTCCACAACCCCCCCAACTTTTCTTTTCCCTGTCTTTATTTTACCTATTTCTTCAGTTGCTTTAGAGTGGACTGTATTTGTTTTAAAAGGCTATCTGAAAGACTGAATAGTGGTCTGTTAAAAAGAAATTAAATATAAAAATAATTGTTGCTAACCACTTGGCCAACTGACTGGAA